GAAAAGGAACAAATAAGAATATTAGATAAGAAGACATATTGACAAATCTCAGCCTGGAATTCATTAAACACTATTCCAGATGGTATTTAAATAGATAACCAGGGCCTATCAGGTCAAGGATAGGAGTCGACATGCCATGTAAATACACCAATCAAGCTATATACAGTACCTACTATAAGAACAGTGAATCAGGTACAATTCAACTAATGCTGAGAGTTAGGAAGGATGTTTTAAACTATGTTCCATAGATCCCTAGAGTTCTGCAAGGATTTTGTGAAAGACTAAAGCAAAGCCTTTCACAATAAAAAGTTCATTTGAATAAAATCCATTTCTATCTCCCACTGCTTCTCTATAAGGGGCTTAGTGGTTTTTATTATTAGGTTTCTGAAAACATTTGAAATGGCACAAGTTAAAGCATGAACAAATGTAGGTCAGTTTTTCAAAGAGCACACAGGCAGCAATGATTAGATCACATGGGTAATCAGGTATTTAGAGATATTCTTATTGCTCCCATTGGCCACACGGACTACTGCAGGTGGGAACTGCTTTTCTTCAAGAATTGCAGAACCGAAGATTCATAATACTGGTTGAGTTAGTTGAGTCTTCAGTTTGCACCAAAATCCCTATTCAGTTATGAAACTCAATGTGAAGTGTCTCTCAGTGACAAAAGTCATACAATATATTAATCTACAATGTGGTTTGGGCTAAATTCTCTGTGTAATCCCAAATAATTGTTCTTTAGTCAGCAAACTAAGTTTAAGCAAAACAACTAATATTAGAATTGCTGAGATATTACAAAAATGAAGAAGAGCATATATAGAAACTTGAACTGTTTCAGATAATGCTTTTCTGGAAAGAAGACATATTACATTGTTAAATAAAATTAAAAATTCTAATGGGCTAGTTCTTTAGCAGTGCTAACCTGACACACTGAGCCAAAAAGTAATCACCTTTTATTCTAGCATAGTGTGAACCTAGCCATTAGTGTCATAGGTTGGCTATTTGTGTGAACCTAGTCATTAGTGTTCACGGGGACCCAGAAAACTGGGTTGAGTAAACCATGTTTAAGTTATATAAAATAAGAACATAGACCAAGCATAGTTTATGTATTTTGCCTTTCTGTCACATTCTTCTGTGATTGTTCTTCAATCCATGATGTGCATTTGCATTTAATACAGAACCAGGTCAAAAGAGTTCCTACACAAAGTCACAGAGGACTCAGCAAAGAAATTATGAGCTGTAATCAAAATGGGAAATATTTTTATTCATATTTTCAAGCTAACAAAGCAATGCTTTTATATTTAATAGAAAAGAAATGCTCCCTCAGATTGTTGTCCGAGAAATATTTGATTGTTTAGAAAATTTTTGTCCCCCACAAGTTATTCAAAAAATCTGAACAATTGTACACAATCTTTTACCGTCAAAGCAATGAAGAGATTTCAGGCCATCTTTTTTTGCAAAATACTTGCCATATCAACTCCTCAGATGCAACAGCAAATGAGAACATAGTGCAGTGGGATCTGTTTATAAATCTTTGTTTACAGAAATGTTTAATTTGCCAAATTTTTGTTTCTTGGCATCATAATGGTTTAAAAACAGCATTCCTTACATCATCAAACTCATTCCTTCCATGAACAGGCCACTCTAATATAAATTGTGGGGAAAGAAGACCCTATTAGAAATGAGGTATATAATACAATCTTACGAATGTGTATTGGGCAGACTCATTTAATTGCTTACACTCCAGCTGCTAAAATCTCAGTGGTTTGCTTGGTTTTAACTTAGAATTATGTGAAACCCAGCTATTGTAGATTATAAATCATGGTGTATGGCTTAGTATATTGTATAAGTCAAAAACTGTTACCTTATTCAACAAACCATGATGAAACAAACCATATCATAATGCAATGAGATTGACCTGGTTACTGGCTGACTTAATAGATTTAGTATATATCAATTTACTAAAGTGTAAGCCTCAGTGCTTAATAAAATTCTCAAATAAATATGCATAGCAATAGCTGGACAATTGTGGTCTCTAACCCTTGTACTTTAGGATAATTTAATATCTGGGTAGATTTTAGTCAGGTTCATACATGATGCTGTATCATAATAAGACTTGTTTAGTTTTTGACCTAATTTGTACTGGGTGAATCAAACTCTGGTGGTTTGAAAACTGTTGTTTATGGTTTAGTATTCTGCACAAACTAATTGTTCTTATTTTATAAACCATGGTTAAGCATGTAATAATTTAATATATGTTCCCAGTCTTTAGGCCACACCTGTTTTAAGAGAGAAAAGATGGAAAATAGGCAAGCAAAATGGTTTACTTTAACCTAGGCAAATTGTTTAGCACCTTGTTAAATCAATTGCTATTATACAAACATTGAGACTAGCCTTAAGGCAGACATTTCCCCTTGAAATTACTCTTTGATGATATTTTCCAACAGGAATATATATGCTTAGCATTTATAGCATATGTAATTCAAGCAAGACACCAAGATATTACACTAGAGTTCTTCTATAGTATGTTTGCAGTCTTGTATACATTTATTCAGAAACTTTTAGTTGATTTTACTCAACAAATGAATATACAAAGTTTTCATAATTTATGCACTTCACAGCTTTTAATGTTACAGGAGGAAAACAAATCTTACATATTATCAAGTATTAAATACTGGAAGCCAACAATTGGTGTTAATTTTCTGATTTGGGCAATTTTGGGATATATATATATAGCACCTTTGATTTAATGGATATTAGGATCTAAATATAACTCTAGTATCTCTCCAAACAATATATCAATTGTAAAGCTATTGAGTGTAATGTCTAATAAAAACATTTGATTTTTCTTCCCATGCTAAATAGACTTTATGGGGAAATCCAAGATCAAAAATGGGCAAAAATAACGTGAAGGAAAAATTGAATGAAAGCAGCAATATTGACTTTGGACCAACTGAAGATGATGAATTTTTAACATACACCATGCCGAGATACAACTATCTATCAGATATAACTCAGTGGCAATATTTATAGCTACAACATAGGTTAACTTTATATGTTATCAGCAGCATTTTCAGCTTTTGGGACACCCGTGATATGAGAATAACTGGGTAAATCTTTTAAAACTAAAAAACCTATTAGTTTTAATACCTGTAGATATTTCTTATCAGTAAATCAACTTGATATGCAAAAATTAAAAAAGAAGTGGAATAAAGAATTAGAGGTTCCTATATTGCCTTAGACAATTGGAGAGTGTCTTAATTTCTATAGCAAAAGTGTCATTGTACCTTAAACTACAACTAACACATGCTTTCATTACCATCCATTTAGATTACTGTAACACATTCTACCTGAAGCTGCCTTCAATCACTTGGAGGCTGCAATTGGTTTATAGTATCAGCCAGCCAAATACCTTTATTTGCTTAGGGCTTATATGTAAGCTCCACAATGGTTGCTACTAGCTTCTGGATGCTATTTAAAGTGCTAGTGCTAATTTATAAAACCCTACATAGCTTGGCACCATATCTGTAGGACCAGATTCTCCCACTGGAATGGCCCAACTAATTCAGCTTACCTAGGAAAAGCTACTAGTTGTCCCCCACATAAGGGCAGTGAAGTAGGCTAAGGCTCATATGGCTTCCTTTTGGGGTGATGGAATTAAACTTTAGACTAGCGTATCAGTTGGGTGGAATTGACTGCATTCTGAAAACAACTTGAACCAAGCTCTTCTGAATAACATTTGGGCTGCGATTCAATTTTGATTGTATTATACATTGGTTTTATTTAACGTTATTCTTTTTAATGTTTTTCGGTTTTATTTATGCACTTTTATTGTATTTTGTTTATTGTGTATTTTATCTTGTAAACGACTGATAATCCTTTGGGATTCTGGTGATTCATAGATTTGATGAATAAATAAAAGTTATCTGAAATGAGATTCAGTTTAATATTTTGTCTTATTACATACTTGGGATAAAGACAGTAAAATACAGCAGCTCAAATCCCAAAGAACATTGCAGACAAATTTGTCATATAAATGTAAAGCTTCTCAAGCACAACTATAGTTCTGTTATATCTATTTACCTGGAAGTAAAATTCACTGAAATCCACTTCCTCTGTATTCATATGTACCAAAGAGTTCACTGCGAGAACATTTCGGTTTAGTCAATGAACAAGACAGCAGTTTTAACCAAAGTTAAAGAGTTAACTTCAACTCTGCTCTTGATGTGCCAAGTGCACATCAGAACCATTATATCTGCTTCTACTCGGGCTCAATTGCTCGTCCGCTTTAGACATCCGTCCGGGGCTGCTACTTTGGGGGTCCTTCGATGACTTTGGAGATATTGTATTGCTGTACAGACACTAACCTCCCCCATCGCTAGTAATAAACGCAGGCTACGCCAGATGAATCCCCAGCCTGCGCGTATACATTAATTGCACGCTCGTATCTCCTTTTCGCCTTCCCTTCACCCGGATCATTGGGGAGCGGAAGTGCCTTGGGAGAACCGTGACGTCCTTCGTTTCAGAAACCGAACGTTACACCGGAAACGACGACGCTTCAGAGACTAGCCCGTGACCTCTGCGCCCTCTAGCGGTTTTCTTACTCATTCCTCGTTCCTTCAGCTAAGATACAGCATTGGGTGGCCAAGCGGGTGCTCTGGGCCGCCCACACAGGTGTGTGCCCGGAAGAGAGGGGACATCGCGGGGAAGGGGGTGTAACGCGGTGCCTCGGGATTTCCAGGTGAGCGATCGGGAATAGCCTTCTCGTTATCCCTTTCCTTCGTCTCTCCCCCTCCGCTCTTTTAGAGTCGTACAGGCCAAAGATAGAAAGTGCTGTTGTCCTGAGTTGTTACTAATACCTAAGCCAGGGGTAGGCAACGTTGGCTCTTTTATGACTCGTGGACTTCAACTCCCAGAATTCCTGAGCCAGCATAGCTGGCTCAGGAATTCTGGGAGTTGAAGTCCACGAGTCATAAAAGAGCCAACGTTGCCTACCCCTGACCTAAGCCTAAAGCCTTGAATTGGGGCAACAGTGTCGCGATCTTCCCACTTTCTTATTCAGGGTTGTTCTACAACCTGATGTAAGCTTAGATCTCTTAGCAAATGCTTGTAAGGTTTTCTTCATTTCTTAATCCTCCCTTCACCAAATCGCATCCTGTCAGCTTGGAATCTGGGGTCTCTCTCTCTCTCTCTCTCCTGTCTTCTCAGAAAATGGCCTGCACAATAGAAAAGATCTTGACAGATGCAAAGACATTGCTGGACAGGCTGAAAGATCATGATAATGCTGCTGAGTCTCTCATTGATCAGTCCACTATGTTGCATAAGAAAGTAGTAGCCATGAAAGAAGCTGGCACAACTCTTTCGCACAAGGTGAGTGCAGATTTGTTAATGGCACAAATTGATTGGCAATGCAGGTTAATGGATGCTGTTGTGTATACAAGTTCTCTGGCTCATAGACAACATTTTTCTTTTACAAGTATCAAGAAGATGCAGCTGAGCTAAAGGATCTCTCTAAATATAAACCTCACATTCTCTTATCTCAGGAAAACACTCAGATCAGAGATCTGCAACAGGAAAATAGAGGTGAGCATTGTCCTAATTAAGTAATTGTGAGCTAGAATTATTTTTATAGAAGTAATGATTTAATTAAGGGCTTTACTTCAGAGCTTAATTTAGAATATCTTAGGAATGTTCTGAGACTGGAAGTATTATGTGAGAGATCTGGGACAGATAACTTTGATAAAATGGTTATAATTTGAGCCACGTTTCAGTTTGTTATTTCTTATTCATACAACAAACCATGTAAAAATATCAGCTTAAAATCATTTTATTATTGGTGTTCTTCGTGGTATAATATGCTGGTTGTATAAGGATGCCAAAACAAAAAACCTCCCAAATTTTATTCAAGTTATATTCAATCTGCAACATTTGAAAAATAGATTGTAACCATACTGATTAACTTGTGTTATATAAATGACAGTCTGCCATACGTTTACATAATAAGTTTCAGTGAAAAACAGAAATTTGTCCCCAAATAAATGCATAGGATTAGACTACAAACTAAATTTGCCTGATTATAAAATACTTATTTTTATTGAAAATTTTATAAAAGTTTTACAATGTAATTCCCCCCTCCCCAGAACCCACCCTTCCCCTCCCCCCTCCCTCCTCCCCACTTCCCAGAGCCAATCACAGGGTTAACAATACAATAACCATACTCTATCTAACATTAATCAACTATTAGATTAACAAATCTATAACATCCTTTAACTCTTTTAAACAAATATACTAATATTACACACAATAATTATAACATCATATTAATAATTATAAATAAAATAAGTAACTTATTGTAACATATAAACTACATTAATGCTCTAAAATTTACTCAAAAACCAAATGAAACTTTTTAGTCCCATATTTACTCTCAATATAATCTATCCATCTTCTCCAAACCAAAATATATCTTTCTTGTGAATAATCCTTCACATAGGCGGAAATCTTGGCCATTTCTGCTAAATTTGAGACTTTAAGTGACCATTCTTCTATAGTGGGCAGACGTTCCGTTTTCCAACATTGAGCTACTAGTAGTCTTGCAGCAGTAATCAAATTCAACATCAAATCCATTTCTTTTGTATTCAAATCTTCCATAATACCCAGCAAAAATATCTGCGGCTTAAACATTATCTTTTTCTTAAAAATATTTTGAATATTCCACCATATCTTAATCCAAAATACCTTTACTTCCCTGCATGTCCACCACATATGAAAATAAGTTGCATCTAAATTTCCACATCTCCAACACTTAGGTTGTAAATTAGAATACATGCAGGACAATTTTTGAGGATCCAAATGCCACCTATAAAACATTTTATAAAAATTTTCCCTTAAATTTTGAGCTTGAGTAAATTTTACATTTCTAATCCAAATTGTCTCCCATGTTTCCAGTAAGATCGGTTCTTGTATATTTTGAGCCCATTTTATCATACAATCCTTAACCAATTCTGTTTCTGAATCCAACTCAATCAATGCGTTATAAATTCTTTTAATATGCGCTTGAGATTGATCTTTAATCTGTTTCATCAAATTTACATCCTGTAAAGTGATACCAACTTTTTGGTCCAAACGCCATCTCATTGACAATTGGTTATAATAAAACCAAGAATATTCAGTGTTTTCTTGTTTCAAATCTACTAAAGATTTAAGTTGCCAATCTCGTCCTACCGGACTGAGTAGTTCCTTATAAGAAACTTTATCCAAATTAACTCCCCTAGATATCCCCTCTATTACCTGTCCTGGAATTGCCCAGATAGGAATTTTATAATTCAATTTATAATAATATTTCTTCCAAACTCATAATAAAGCACTTCTTAAAATATGAACCTTAAAATTTTTATCTACCTTTTTATCATAAATTAGATATGCCTGCCAACCAAATAACAAATCCCATCCTTCAAGAGACTGATTATAAAATACTAATCCAGAGTGTGCATTGATCAAAGAAGACTAGTTGCTTTCACTGCTCTCCCATCAGGGAAAGAATTTGAAATGGAAGTGTAACCAAACAAATAGTAGGAACCAATGTGTATACTACCAATATAGTTATACAATGGAATTACACTTCTTTTTTCAGAGCTATGGATCTCTTTGGAAGAACATCAAGATGCACTGGAACTTATTATGAGCAAATACAGAAAACATATGCTGCAGCTCATGATGAAAAGAAAAGATGTGGATGCCCAATCAGTTTTGCAAGTACATCAGACTCAGTCTGCGGTAAGAAATTACAATGTTCTCTCTAAAAAAAAGTAGAAATAGATTTAGAAGAGTTGCTTGGATGTGTGCTCTGTTCCTATGGTATCTGCTTTTGACTCTCACTTTTTCCTCAAGAGTCTGTTCTCTGAAATATCTCAGAAGTGGCTTTTCTTTCTAGGAGAAAGCATTGCAGCTGAGCCATGAAGTAACTTGAGAGTTATTATAAAACAAATAACTGTAAATACCATGGATGGTTAATTATTTTTATGCCACAAAAACTACAAAATTTCATTACATTCCTGCCTCAAAGTAAGTGGCTATGACTCCTCAGAGGGCATTCCATTTACCACAGGATATTTGAATTTTCTTGCAATGGAAAACATGAAAGCAAAATAGATGTACAAGAGAGGGTGCCCGTCTGCTGGATCCAGAGCCTTTCTGTTTTCCAGTTTGCTCCTAAACTGGTGTATACAATAATAGTCATGGAGCTAAAGAGAGGTAACAAGACTAGCTTGTAGAATATGAATGTTCTTTATGTATGGTTACATAGTCAGTGCAGTATTAATAATAGGAGCACCATATTAGTTGCAGTACTATATCCTGAACCAAATATCCTTGCTAAGAGAATACAAATATGTATGCATGCATTGCAAAAAAAAATTGGGGGTTGTGCAATATGTGTGGATACTGCAATGAAGAAGAAATAGGTCTCTTTGAGCTCTTAAGTGGAAATTGACTATGTTGGTACTGCATGGTGAGACTGGATCATAGCCACATTCTATAAGCAAAGCACCTATTAGAAATATTTCAGGGCAAAATTATATGTTTCTTACAAAATAATAATAGGGCCTGTCTTAAAGCTGTTTTCCAGAAAATTAAAATATATCTTAACAGAATTGCAGAATGATGGGATTATTTAGAAAGAGTATGATGGCAATAGTTGGTTTCTATTTAATTGCTGTAGTTCCAAGACACAAATCTGTCATGGTACTGCATATTAAAAATGTGAAGTATACTGTAAATAAAATGTAATAGAAATGCATCACTTAAAATTAGCTCTTTAATGTTCATCAGAGTCATTCATTAAAAGTTTTCTTGACTTGGGTGGACATTTCTGATTACAGATACTTTTTTCCAACCTTATATCGGACTGATTATTGTTTAGAGTATACTGCTTGTCTGCAGCATTAATTTTGCTTTCTGTAATAAATTTAAGGGTATTTTTATAAACTGAAAGATTTCAACAACTCAGTCTAATGAAAAGGTTTATTGAAGCCTAGTTACAATATCATCTGTTTCCCCTTGTTGACAAACATGAATTTAATTAAGACGATTCCTAAAACCTAGCATTTTTCTCTTTCTTCACAATAGTATTTTTAATTTGTGTTCATGACGAACATTTGTTTTATGTGTGTTTTAATTGAGAATAATTTTGTTTTAAAATCTATCTGCAGGAGATTGAGAGTCAGATTGACATGATCTGTGAAATGGGAGAGGTTATGAGAAAAGCAGTTAATGTTGACAGTGACCAGTATTGTAAAATACAAGAAAAGCTAGCACAGTTAGAGGTAAGTGCTGAACTACTGTGAAGTGTGGGATTGTTGAAAAGGAATATATTTGTGATTTTTCAGCATCCAAAGGAGCGTTGATTGTTCTCTATTAAGGGTTATTACATGCACCAGACTGAAGTAGCTTCATAGTTGTAGAGAATGAATAACAGAGTTGGAAGGGACCTTGGAGATCTTCTAGTCCAACCCCCTGTTCAAGAAGGAAACTATAACATTTCAGACAAATTATTGTCCATTCTCTTCTTAAAGAGTTTTGGAGCTTTCACAACTTCTGGAGGCAAGTCATTCCACTGATTAATTGTTCTAAATGTCAGGAAATTTCTCCTGAGTTCTAGACTGATTCTCTCCTGGATTAGATTCCATCCATTACTTCTTGTCCTACTTTCAGGTGCTTTGGATAGCTTTGAAAGCAAAGTAATAATTCACAAAGCTGGAATCATGCAACATTTTAAATAATGACTTTTAAGTTGTATTAAATAATTAAATAATCCAGAAAGAAAAAAATAACTTTTCCCTTCATCCCAGTAGGTAAAAACAATGTTAATAGCTTATCACTGTCTTTAAATAAAACAATCTCTCATCTTCTCATAGTTCATCTCCTATATAAGAACAAATTGTAAATACTCTGTCAATCTTTGTCAACAAAAATCCAGTAAGGGAAATCAGATATAACCATTTTCTTCTTTTAACCCTGAATAAAGAAGACAAACTTATAAAGCTTCCCTTTTTTAAAAAAAATATATTATTTGACCCCTCCAAAAAGAATTCCAGAGAGAATTTGCTACTCATCTGTGTTTCAAAGCAAAATTTCTTTAGAATTTTAATAGGTTTTTCTTACATCCATAAATAAAATGTATTCTTTAATTTGTCATTTCTTAAAAGTGCTTTCGAATCTTAGCAGAGCTCTTTTGTATATACAGAAGAAAAAATGATCCAAATCAGTTTCCTAATGTTTGTTCATCTCTAAGTCTCCATCAGATTCATTTGTATTACATTCAAATCCCCCTCCAAATTAATTTCATAAACATCAGCTTGTTCTTGTTTTACAACTTCATTAGGACATGCTCTGTCAATCTTATCAAGCATCTGATCCATTCTGTCCAAAAGTTTAACTGAAAGGTATTCAAAATTTTGCAATAAGGATTTCTGCTCCATTTTCTTTCTCCTCTGGCTCTGAGATCTAGCTTTCAAGATTTCCTTGTCATAAAAATATGAAAACAATCTTCATTTTCCTATGAGAATGTATCTTCTAAATAATTCAAAGCTATTGTTCCAAATTCCTTGGCCCCTTAATCCATTATTAATTTTCCAAAATCCATGTACCAAGCACGTATATAAAACTTTTAAAATTAAACTTACAGTTATCACCTAATGAAAAACTTGCCAGTCTGAAGAATCTTAATCTCTACAATATGCAATAAATTTTTTAAAACCCAAAAAAGTGATTAAGATATAAGGCTCTCTCCGTCTTAATGTCCATAATGATTGCTTTGTGAGTTTGAGTTTGATGTAAATCCTGACTCTCAGCTACTTCACTCAGAAGCCAATCATAAAAAATGACAGTTTTGGTGCTTTACTCATGAAGAGCAGCTATGGAATCACAAGGATGAGCTCAACAATCCTTTGTTCCAGAAAGATTACATTGACTTGGATCCAGCATCCAATAGTAAAATTCCTCTCACAAAGTTGTCTTGCTAGCTAACAAAAGCCAGCTTGCCACGGTGCTTATAGGTGGTGTTGGACATTTATCTGATGATAAATCTTTTAAAAAGCAGCATGGAAAGATCATAGGAGTGATATATGGGAAGTAATTATGGATGTCCCCAAAATTACATTTTTATGGCACTGAATGAATATATTATTTCTTGTCACTAACATCACACATTATTATTTTTTAATTTTCAGCTTGAAAATAAAGAATTGCGAAAATTATTATCAATCAGTATAGAGCCTGTTGAAGTGAGGCAAGAATTACCTGATGTTGCATCTCAAGTTACAAAACCTCAGTCCTGGAACAGTTGATCCTGGAAATTGGAAACTACTGCAAGAATGAGTATGCTTCCTTTCTGAGCTTTCCTTTAAATCCCTTTAGTCTTCTCTTGGAAACCATTCCAAGCCTGTTACTATATTGTAAGTTCTGTGCTTAGGTTAGGGATGTTGTAATGGCCCCTTCTTTGATTAAGATTTGTTTTACTTAATCATGCAGAAGAGTGCATGATTAATCAAGGTTAATCAAGGTTACCCATGATTTTAGAAATCTCAGTTGGATAGAGCAAGGATCATCTTAACTTTTCTAGTGTGAGCAAATAACATAAAGTGTTTTAGCATGACTTAAATTGCATTGGAATTCAGTTCTTAACTATGTTTAGGATACACTGTTGTACAAAGCTTAGGCCCTCCTACTCTTAATGCTAGAATTTCTGCTTCTAGCATTGTTTTTGGTGCTGCATTTATTGTATCATTTAAAAATATACTGTCATATTACCTATTTTTTAATATCAACCAAGCCATCCGAATCACCTTGCAGGGGAGATGGGCAGCATAGAAATTTAATAAATAAAATAAATAAACAAATACAGAAAGTAACACACAATGCTAAAGTGTTGAGTCCTCATACCTATGACTATTTCACACAGGAGATGTCTCTGTGGGTTATAACAAAGTCTGCCTACCTAGAATGTTCAATGGGTATGATAATCCATTACGGACATAACCACATTAGTTATTTTTCTGTCTTTGCCAATATCTACTTGTTCAAGGAATCTGTTTCTAATTTCTTATAGCCACATTAAGCCCCTGTACATGGATGTCAAGAGGGAGAGATGCGTGGAAACAAGTCTGTTATATCCTATAAAGATTACTCTGTGTGTAGGCATTTGCACAAATGTCATACATATTAATCCTGTAAAAGATGAATTTACTTTTTTGCAAGCACCTGCCAATATTTTAAAAATTATTTTTCTTGAAAGATTGATAATTGAAGATAAATATATCTAATATTTGTTTATATTGTTCTAAAGTGTACAAATTAGAAATGTCTCTTAAAATTTCTTGGGCATCTGTTCTCTGATGGTAAAACAGAATCTATGGAATTTATACGTATTGTGCACATTTATTCTTGTCCTGGTTTAACTAAGTTTTAGGAACATAACTAAATAGTCAATTTATGTCATTTTGCCTGTTTCCTTCTTGCCCCATAAGTTTTGAGGAAAGGAGTGATAGGCTAATTGATCAAATTCATTTGGGGTATTTTCAGGTTCTCACTTTGAAAATTTTACTTTAAAGACTGAGCAGATAAAAAAATCTGAAAATGTGGGCCCTATTTGCATAATGCAATCAGCTGAACAAACTTAGTATCTTTGCAGCGTTATGCCTTAAATATATGCCTTCAGTGCCGTCTTCAGAATCAATAAGCTCTTGTAATGAACTGCAAGTTGCCCAGTCTTTTTGTAAGCTTTGGATTATTTTGTAAATATCATGTAGGATGTAAATGTATTTACCTACAGAGGTGCTGTATTATCAGCCTATTCTATTCAGTAAATTAAAAATAATCTCTTTACCTCTCATCTTATTAAATATGTATATTGGCTCATTATTTTCTTGAAATAAATGTCTTGAAGCAGTATTGTGCACTAAGACACTTTTGTACAGAGAATTATGTATGGCAGAGGACTGGGAACTATTGGCCATTTAGATGTTGTTGTACAGCCCCAGCCATTATGATTGATAATTTGGGATATTGAAACTAGTTTTTCAATGAAAAGGGCCATAGGTTCTCTCTTCTTTGATGTTTTTGGACATATTTTAAATTTGACTGATATCAATGTTTTTGTCAAATCCTTGGAGATTAAGAGTTATATTCAATTTATAAATTAAATTTATTAAAGAAATGCTGTAGCTTCATATTTCTGAAAATGATATGTTGACTGTGAATTGAGGACCAATAGAACACTCCTCAAATAATGTGATCAGCTTGTAAATTCTAGTTTGCAAGTATAAAAGTCTGCTAGATTCATGTAGTGTTTTAACCCTGCTTTATTTACCAAGCCAAAAACAAACAAGCCGTATTAGAGCAGAAAGATTATTCTTTCATATGGCCACTAATAAATTTATTGTTGCCTTATATTATGTATCAAATTATTTTCTTCACATCCTGTAAGCAACCAGTTACATCCTTCCTGCCACCCAAGAAGCAGGTTTGCCTACATTTTAATAAGCATGCACCTAAGCATTACTTTGCAGTAACTAGGCTACTCCTAGAATAAAGCTGTATCTCAGAAAGTAGAAAATTCAGTTAATGGCTCACATTGCAATTGCCTATTTTATAATTGTCATAATGGCTCAGACCCAACATATAGCATGTTTAGTTATGCACTCATGTTTATTTTCTGCTTTTCCTACAATAACAGACCATATTTATAGAAAGCCGATGCTAAAGATTAAGCAGAAGCAGTGACTTCTGAATTTGGGGAGATAATCTTATTAAGCTTGTAGAAAGGGTGGCTACTCATTGCATGTTAAGTTTCTGGACAGAGTGACAGGATTGATTTTTAGGACTGATCTAAAGAAATAAAATTATAATGAATCTAGATAAGATGGAGGCAATAGGGATAGAGAAGCCTGATGATAAAGAAGAGGACAACCACTTCTGAATGGATTTTGAAAACAAATGGCTCTAATGGGTGATTGCCTACATATAAAAATGGAGAGATGGCCAATCAAAAAAATCATGGATGTTAGGTAGCTCCCCACTATATTATCTGCCATCCCAGTTTTCCACTGTCATTTCTATAAATAAATATAGTGCTAGAATTATGTCGGCTCATATGCCAGATTTTTTTCAAACAGAAATGGAACAGAGAGCCACTGGGTATTAATGGAAGTATCTTGGGTCAAAATGGTGCCCAAGAGCATTAGTACTCTACGCTATATCAGCAGTCATTATTGGATATAGTATTTGGTAAAACTATCATGATGCTTTCTTCAATCAAGTTTAAGTTTGCCATATACATGCTTGGTTGCTCTTTGTTAATTATTAGAGTTGTAAGTAAAATATGATGCAATATTCTGATTTGATTAATTTTATTTACTTCAGGATTTTTATTCCCTAGTGTCAATCTAGAAGTTATCTCCCACATGCTATTGACTATAGCTCACGGTGTACATAATGGTGGTAACTGCATCACAGTTTACTTGATTAGCCAAATTTTCTCTCATTTTTATGATGTGCTGAACAACAAATTAACCACTGGAGCTGGATTTACATAGCACACTAAGATAAAATGTTTCTTAAAATATGATCCATAGAATATCAGGGCTCCCAGAATAACACCCAGAAGGTGTTCCATGAACTGAGTTTGTTATCCCATCAAATGCCACTACTTTAAAGTAGACAGGAGCTCAAAAATAGCACTTTATAAAAGTAGCCTGTACATTTTAACAGCTCAGGAAGAACTTTATCAGATACAAGGTAGGAATGAAAAATTATACCTGCACTGTAACTATAGTTTAAATATTTTAAAAAGAAAACAGAAAAATAAGAAAGTCCAGTTGCCTTGTGAGAAAGCATTTTTGGGATAACTATGAACTATGAGTTAAAAATGCAATAGTAAAGGTAACAAATTCAAAACAGAGAGAGGGGTACCACAAGAAACAACAGTGGATGACGGAGGAAATTCTTCATCTCATGGATGAAAGAAGATTTTATAAAAATAAAAACAAAGAAAAATACAATGAATTGCAGAAAACAATTAGAAGAAAAATTCGACTGGCAAAAGAAAAGTGGTTTGCAAAGAGATGCAAGGAAACAGAAGAGACAGAATGTATACATAATTTCAATTTACACAAAAAAGTGAAAGAAGCAGCAGATACCAAATGATTGGCTAAAATCAACCTTTGTGACAATCCCCCAAAAAATAAATGCAAAGAAGTGTACCGAATACAGAACAATAAGCTTAATGAGTCATGCCCTGAAAATATTCCTGAGAATAATTCACACAAGAATATACAACAAAATTGAAGAGTGTCTAGGTAACACACAATTTGGTTTCAGAAACAATTTTGGTACACGAGATGCGCTGTTCAGCATTCAGGTTCTTGTACAGCGTTGTAGAGATGTCAATCACAATGTTTTCATGCGCTTCATTGATTTCAAAAAAGCTTTTGATAAAAGAAGACACAGCAAACTATTAGAAATCCTGAAACAAGGGGGACTAGATGAGAAAGACATCCAAATAATAAAGAATCTGTATTGGCATCAGGTAGCAAATGTGAGACTAGGCCAAAAATACTCAGCTGATGCAGAAATAAGAAGAGGGGTCAGACAGGGATGTATTGTTTCCACTGTTGTTCAATATCTACTCTGAGTCAATCTTCAACGAGGCACTGGAGAACATCGATGCTGGCATCAAAGTAAAAAGTGTTTGGATCAACAACGTAAGATATGCTGACGATACAGTTCTGCTTGCCAGTAAGCATGAAGACCTTCAGCTCCTCATCAACAGAGTCACAGAAATATCTGAAAAATACGGCTTGAAGCTTAACACCTCAAAAACCAAGATCATGGTCGTCAGCAAACCCATTAATTTACCACCAATAAATTCAGAAGGAATACCACTAGAAAAAGTTGAAAGGATCACACACCTCGGTTCCAATTTACATGAAACCTGGGATATGACTGTTGAAGTAAAGACAAGGATAGAAAAAGCTTGAACAGCATTCTTCAAAATGAAAAAGGTCTTCTGCAGTCACGACATAAGCCTAAGACTGAAAATCAGGCTTGTCAGATGCTATATTTTTTCTATCCTGCTCTATGGAGTAGAGAGTTGGTCTCTGACAGAAGGCCAACGGAAGAGACTAGAAGCATTTGAAATGTGGATTTACAGGCGGCTGTTACGTATAAGCTGGGTTGACAAGATCAAAAATTAGGAGGTGATAAGCCGCCTGGGAAAGCCAAGGGAAATCATCAAAACAATTAAAAAACAAAAATTAGAATATTTCGGACATGTGATGCGACACCCAGAAAAATACGGCATACTCCATTTAATCCTCCAGGGAAAGATTGAAGGCAAACGAGGTCCAGGCAGAAGAAGAACATAGTGGCTTCAAAATCTAAGGGACTGGTTTGGACAAAACTCAGAAGCACTTTTTCGTGTGGCTGCTGATAAAAACAGGATCGCCAACATGATTGCCAACGTCCGATAACAGATATGGCACAAGAAGAAGAAGAAGATGAACTGGATGACTGAGAATCTCCATAGACAGAAAAACAATCCTTTGTATTAACTATTTTGTTACCTGTATCTATTTCTCCACATAATCACACTTCTGCCAACACAGAACAATATTTTTAAAGCCATCACAAATTAACTCTACTTTTTTTCTTTAATCAAATCTTAACAGTCCTTTCCACTTCTTCATCTGAGTCAAATATATGCCTGTGAGGGTATTGCTTCATTTTGGGGAAAGGTGGAATGTATATGGGGCTAAATGGCAGATAAGACACCAAAATCAAATTTCACAGCTGCCTCTTGGGTTACTTGTGAGGTGTGAGCCCTAAAGTTTTCATAGTGCAGCAAAATTTCCTTCTATGCTTCCAAGCTCTGCTTAATCCTTGTTTCAAAATTTTGAATATTGTAGTGAACCTAGTCCACACCAGGTTCAAGGAAATCCAGAGAATCCATCTGCATCCCACAAGCTGTAACCACTAGTTTTCCTGCTGGAGCCTGGGTTTTTTTCCCCCACAGGTGAAGCTTTTTGCTAACATTTAATATACTAGCAATTCATTTCTGGATCACGATGAGGTGTTTTTTTTTTGCTATCACAGTGCTGTGAAGAAACTCCTCACTTTCTTAGCTTAAATAAGAATTGCTGGCAAATGTTAATTCTTGAAGCTTTTAATTCTGCTGTTATCAGAAGAAGCCTGATAGCAATTTCCCTTTCTCAGTTCATAAATCTTTCTCTTGTGAAACTTACCAGTTGCTATCACATATTACTTTGTTCTTGATCACACAAATCAGCTCTTTGTGCTTGACTCTCTTTCATTTTTATTTTATTTTATTTTGCTCCTTTGGCTCATATGTTCACATCAACATAGTTATGCTTTGCTGTGCTTCTACATTTCTTTTTCTTCTGGACCATCCACTCCCTTTGAAGGAAAAAGAAAACCCCTTCTTTTATTTGGCTATTTTTTCTGTCTGCCGATGGCTGAGGAGCTTCCAAAACAGACATCTACTCCATTCTCACATACCCCTTTCAAGGTTTTATGTTTATTGACAACTCTGCTCTTCTAAGCTGGGGAGAAAGCTCAAATAGTAGGGGAAGGTAACACAGGGGCTTGCATTTTTTTCCTAAGCAGACTGTTTTTCCACATTTATCCAAATAACTGTACATAAATTTTAAGAACTGAAATAGTTTAGCCATATTTTAAGAACTGTTTACAGATATTTTAACAGAAACTCTTTTCAAGTGATAACATCTGTATGAACAATTGAATGCAAATATAAAACAACTGTTTGCAACACGAAATCTTTGTATGGACATGAAGGCTTTCTTTTGAGCTGGAATTCCTGCTGCGACAATTGTGCTACACTCACGATAGTTGCAGACACTGTCAGAGAAACTGAGGAAAGGGAAAGGACTCCTTGCTCTTATATTTGCATGCAGAATTGAAATCATGAATATCATCTGAATAGAGTTTAAGCAATTACCACTATGGGATATCTAACACCAGATCAAAACTTTCATCTAGATTACAAAATTCATTTGGGGATGGTGAGAATCTTAGGATGCTAAATACTTGCATTATGCCTCCTAGATCAGTGATGGCGAACCTATGGCACGCATGCCAGAGGCGGCACTTGGAGCCCTCTCTGTGGGCACACGCACCGTCACCCCAGCCCTGCCTCCTCCCACGGCCCCCTCCTCACCAGCAGCCCCCCAGAGGAGAGTTGCCCCCTGGCATGGCCCACATGAAGCAGCGCAGCCAAGGACATGGTAGCCGGGCAGCAGGGACAAGACTCTGCCCTTGAGCCCCGTCGCGTGCAGATGATGCTGCGGGGCACAGGTAGAGGGCGTGGCTGCCATGACGCTGCTGGGCTACCTGGGTGATCTGTGGTGGGCCG